GAAGCCCAGCTCAGCTGGAGTTTTGCCGTGGGCTTCCAGGAGTGTGGGACCAAACACACAGATGTGATGCTGAAAACCCACTCAGTGGCTGAATCCCTAATTCCAAGGCTTGGTGAACAGCTGTGAGCCTCTGGGATCTGGCTGGGGAGTGGATTTGGGGCTCAGGAAATGAGCTTTCCCTTTTTGCCTAGAAGGAAAGCAAAACAAGTGACCTCTGTGCAGTCACTTCTGGTTTCCCCAAATGCATTAACACCTGGACATAAAATTCCTAAACTGCAATTTAGGGATGCAGATTGCAGTGGATCTGCTAAGACAAGCACAAAAGACCAAGGTGGTTGTTATATGAAGACAGTAGAAAACCAGGTGTATTAGACTGCCTAATAAGAAATGAGAGCAGGAAAGTCAGCGTTTGCACGGAGCCCAGCTACAGGCAATAATCCAATTTACAGGGAAGCAAGAGGTTGATGGTGACCTTGCCAAAAACCCAGCTATCCAAAAATAGTACTGACAAATGGAGTCGTGTGAAAATAAGGAGCTAAGCAGCAACAATAAGAAGGAGAGAACGAGAAAGTTAGTCTCTCTGTAAAAGGTAAATTCTGGAGCATAAAAATGACGTCCCTCCATTTCAAACCAGAATAGTGATCAGTTTCCAGGCACTTGCAAATCAGTGAACAGAACAGGAAAAAAAAATGAAGCTTACCCCTTTTTTCCCAAACCTGCCTAGATGTTATGGTAATTAACAAGTTGTTCCTGTAAATACCTACTGCTGCATTTTTCCTCCATTTCTACTTCAAATGGATTGCTAGAGTTGTGAGCCCACCCACCTCCTTACCAACATCCACCCCGGGTGAAGACCTGTAGGATACTGTGATGGCCCAACTGAACTGGATGATGCCACTTGCTGGGAGCATGGAGCAAAGCAGAGGATGACAGTGCTTAGGACTGCCCCCATGAGCTTGACACTGAGTGGGAGATCAAACAGTACCCATGCAGACCAAGCAAAACTCATGAGAAGCTGTTTTTCTCCCATCATCCTAACGTAATCCTCTACCACTGTCACCAACTCTGTCCAGTTTGTAACCAAATAAGTACAAATTGAAGATTTGGCACCTTCTGGGATTTTAAGAGTTTGCTTGTAACATAACACTCGGCAAGATTAGGCACTGGGAAGTCACTATGAGCATTGTTATCTCAACACATGACAGACTTGAGAAACTTTTAATGCATGAGTCTATTCAACTTCTCTATGAGAGATGCCAAAAAGCATACATCAGGTATAGACTTTTTAGAACCAGGAAGATCAAATATCCAAAGCAGAGATCAAAGTGTGAAGGGCTCACAAAACCTAATTCCCTCCAGGAGCATCATTAGCATTCAGGAATCATAGAACTATTTGGGTTGGAGGGCACTTTAAAGATCATGTAGTTCCAACCACTCTGCATGGACAGAGACACCTTTCCCTAGGCCAGGTTGCTCAAAGCCCCATCCAACCTGGCCTTGAACATCTCCAGGAAGGGCGCATCCACAACTCCCCTGGGCAACCTGTTCCAGTGTCTCACTGCTCTCACAGTGAAAAATTCCTTCTTACTACCTAATTTAAAGAAGTAGTGTGTTCTCCTGAGGATCCTACGTGTATTACTGATAGTCAAGCTCTGCCCAAACTAACTCAGTTTTATTCACAAAGTAATAATTTCCCCCAAAAAAAGCAGAGGTCTGAATCAGCTGCTAAATGAAGGAATCTCACAGAAGGCAAAGCCAGGGACTGGGTCAGGCAACACACACTCCTAAGCATGTGCCACTTCACCACTTGGAGAAGCACTTCCTTTAATTGGGACTGCCAAGCTCCTCACTCAGAGAGCAGGACATGTTCCCTCTAACTCAGAGAGCTCCAAAGTGAATGTCTACCTTGCAGCTAATTTCCCCTAAAGCACTTATAGAAGCAATAGAGAGAAGCAGGTGACTCCAGCTGGTAGCTCAGCCCATCCTAAAACATTTGTCTAAGAGACCTCAAATAAATCACAGCCTGAAGACGCCAAATTTTTCCTACATGCTAGAAAATGTAGGAAAAAAATGGGTGACTAGCTGAGATCTGGACATACTGTCCTGGATGGACAACTGGCATTAGGTGTGATCATAGAATCATAAAATCATAAAATGGTTTGGACCTTTAAGATGATTGAGTTACAACCCACCTGCCATGTGCAGGGACATCTTCCATTAGACCAGGTTGCTCAAACCTCCATTCAGCCTGATCTTGAACACTTCCAGGGAGATGACTCCTCTCAAACAGCTGGTGGAAAGCTGCATGTCTGTGTGTCTTTCCTGCCCACTTGCAAGGACATGGCAGGAGTCAGGAGTCAGATCACTGGCAGAGGAGGGTTTTGTTTCTTCTAAGAGGACACAAATCACCTTGTTAAAATACAAACACACAACCAAGTTTGTTATGACTGCTACTTCCCTCCAGAGCTCAACATTAGTGTGTCCATAGATCCCATCCTGCTTCCTAACAAGTATTACATTAAACACCACAGTAAGGGGATAGGAGAAAAGAAGTGTGTCTGAAAGCACTCAATATGTATGAACATATTCCCGAGCATGGAGCTGAGGTATTAATCTATATATAGTTACAATCCCATCACTAAGCAGGAACAACTTGCTGTCTGCACATCCTCCTATTAATAGCTGTTGCTCCAGTCCCTGTTCATCTCTCTTGGTCCTTACACATGCAGCCTTCCCTCCATCTGCACCACTGTGAGCCAGCCTTTTACCTTCAATCATGAGAGGAGATTTGCCTCAGCAAATCTCAACAGCAGAAGAATATGACCCTTTCTTTAAGCCTCTAAAGTAACCAGTCATTGCTGGCATTGGGCCTGGTGTTGTCCAGGTAAAATACAAAGTGAAAGATAATTCATCCTTTAGATAATTTGGTGCTAAATCACTTGAAGACCTATAAACTAGAGTGACAACCTGCTTCTTAGGTCCTGTTGCAAAAGGTAAACCTCACCATAACCTTTCCTTTGCTGTACAATAATGTTCCTGCAATTGCTCTGCAGAAGCCTCCTTGTGCCTGTCTGGTTAGATTACCTCAGGACTCCTATATTCTGCCTGAATGATTCTGACAACTTGAACTGCATCAGGGGTGTCCAAGACAGAGGAAAATGTGTTTCCAGACACTCTGGCCACACAATTGAGACTAGACTTGATTTTTAAACATGAGCATATCAACAGACTCTTCATCTCCTGTGTCAGCAGATCACTTGAGATTGGCATGTCCATTCATGGTGTCAGCAGACAGGTACCAGCATAAGCTGTGGAACAGCCACCAAAATGCTGCTCTTGGTAACCTACTTGCTTGCTATGGAGCAGATAAAAACTTCCCTTGGCTGACCATTGAAAAAATTAAGAGGTACGTCACTGCTCTGTGCAGGAGATGTGGATCTTCTACCTGCTCTAATCACTCCTGTGGCCATGTCATCATGATACTGGGAAGAAGAGATCCTCCTCTGTTCATCATCTCTTTGTAGCAGAGGGCTGTGAGTATGCCCCTGGATTATGAGCCAGAACCCATGTTTCTCACTGTAGTCTTCTTGTCCTCCCTTCCCAAGCTACAATTGCATGTGGCAGTTCAGTGACGGTACAGAAACAGGCAGTTCTCCCCAGGAGCAGTGTCCCCACAGCCTGAGACCCCTCCTGAGTGTAACATCTCCTTCATAGAATCATAAAATTATTCAGTTGAAAAAGACCTTTAAGATCAAGTCCAACTATTAACCTAGCACACTGCCAAGTCCACCACTGAACCGTGTCCCTAAGCTCCACATCTACCCATCTTTTAAACACTTCCAGGGATGGTGACTCCACCACTCCCCTGGGCAGCTTGTTTTAGTGCCTGACAACGTTGCTGGTAAAGAAATTTATTGTAATATCCAATCTAAACCTCCCCTGACCCATCCGGAGCCATTTCCTCTTGTTCTATCACTTGTTACTTGGCAGAGAGACTGACTTCTACCTTGCTACAACCTCATTTCAGGTAATAAGGTCTCACCTCAGCCTCCTTTTCTTCAGACTAAACAAATTCAATTCCCTCAGCTGCTCATAAGACTTGTGTTCTAGACCCTCCACCAGCTTCATTGCCCTTCTCTGGACATGCTCCAGAACCTCAATGTCCTTCTTGTAGTGAGGGACCCACAACCGAACACAATAGTCAAGGTGCAGCCTCACTAGTGTTGAGTCTAAGGGGACAATCACTTCCCTAGTCCTGCTGGCCACACTATTTCTAATACAAGCCACAGTATTTCTAATACATGTTTGCTTTATGGGGCTGTTTCACTTGGAGGTAAGAAATGGATTGTCTTCTGAGGAAGAGCTTTAAATAAGGAAAAGATGCAACAGTTGAAATGGAAATGTGGGGGACTGGGAAAAAGGACCAGGAAGAATGTGTGTGTATATATGGCATATATATGCCATATATAGTCTGTTTTTCTGTGTCCTGTTGCCTTTCATGGGCCTGCCTCCTCTGAGACACTACATTTTCTGTAATCCACTGCTTACTCTATATGAGAGAGGGAAGGCTGGTGCGTGGCAGAAGACAGACTTCAACCACTGAATTTTGCCATCCATAAGAAGGAAGGGGAACACCAGGGATCCAAATTTAGCTTACAGTCAGGATCCTCATTTCCCCATCCCCATGAAAAGTACCAACCTAAGGTACCTCAAATTAAATGTGAAAAGCATGAATTATCTTTTGCAAATGTAGACCTTCCTATCAGAAACTTTGGGGAAAAAATGCTGAAAACTGTGCTTTCCTGATACTAGGCAAATTCATGAAAGTGACCCACTCTGTATAATCAGAAGGTGTAACATGTCAAAGTAGTGTAAGAAAGTTTCAGAATAATACCACGTTCCTCAGATGTCTTCAAGCTCTACTGGGGTTTTATTAGGTTCCCTGAACCAAGGACAGAAACTTTCCAGGGAACTGAACTAGCAGGTTTTAGCACCAAGCTTCACATCTCTCCAAGCTGATGCTCAGCTGCCAGCTGCTCTCTTTCTCCTTCATATGCTGGGCGAGTGATGGCAATGAGCTCGTTTTCCAGCATTGCCATTTGAAATGTAATGTCTGACACTGTGTTCTTCACAGCACTCAGCTGCCGCTTCAATTTCTTGTAATCTTCTCGGAAGGATCTGTCCACATCATAGAGAATGGGACGGTCCTGTTTCTTCCCATGGCAAAGATTTATTTCCAGGAAGATGTGGAGGAATTCATATAAGTCCTGGACAGCCCGGAGGACTTCACACTCACCCTGTATGCTTGGGAATGACTTGGTCTTATTCTGGGTTGAAGTGGTGCTCTCCTTGTTAGCTTCATGTCCCTGCTGGTGTTCTAGGCCAGGATTGCCTTCTTCCACAGACGTGATGGAGACAGTGTCCTCATGAAGATCTGAGTTGGCATTTTTGTTCTCCTCATGGACTGCGATGGCTTTTTGGTCTTTGCAGATGATGGGAACTGATTTGTTCTCTGGCTGGAACTCCCCCAAGACCCTATTCTTTCCCTGGACCGCCTGGAGAGCTGTGTTGCCTGGGTTGACTGGAAAGCCCATGTTTCTTTCTTGGATAAATGGGAATGGATTATTTTCCTGCTGGAGGCTTTGCTGGATGGCATCGGTGTAAATGACCTGGACAGGTTTGTTCTGTGACAGGACACACTGTAGAGCCTTATTTTCTTCCCAGAGCATTCTGTTTTCAATCCGGAGGACTTGGTTTTCCTCCCAGAGTGTTCTGTTCTCTTCCCAGATGCCCCACTCATTTTGTGCTTTCTTGCCAAAGAGTTTTTGGTGGGAAGCAAAGGGTGGCTGGCAGTACATCTCGTTCACCCATTTCCCATCAACAAAGACAAACACCTCATCCCTCAGTTTCATCCGTGGGGCCATGCACTCCATCCCAGGCTCCGCACGCTGCATGCATTGGTTTGCCAAATTAAAAGCAGACATGATCTTTCCTTAGTAAATTGAGGAGGACTGCTGGAAAATACCTCTTCCAAGTCTTTGTCAGAGGCCACTGTCCACTGGCAAGGAGTAGATGGCACAGTGGGGCCAGAGAAACTGGATCAGGACTGAAAGAACAGGAGACACAAATACACAGAATTACTTCCAAAATCCAAAGTCACAAATTAAGTTCATTGGGTGAAGAAACAGTAAATAAGTCAGTTCCCCAGTTGGCCATGTTGCCTCTTCAACTCTGGAAGGTAAGGAATAAGCTGGAAATATATAGAACCTGAGAAAACTGGCATTGGTAGATAGAGCAGCTCTATGGCAGCACCACAAGCTTTAGTATAAAACCCTGGACTCTCTTTTTATTTCTACCTTACAGACATGTAAGAGTGTAAGGTGCAAGAATATCTTGCAACACAGAATAGTCCGTCCCAACTGAGTGACAGGCACAGGAATTAAAAATTGTTATGGTGCTGAAACCCACTTTTAAAAGAAAACATTTTTAAAGGATCACAGTGAAAACTTGGCCTCAAGAACAGCTTTTTCTTGTTGCTGCTTAGCCCATATCAACAGGGTGCCACAAAAATACAGTGGTAGTTGCACTTTTTGATCTTAAAATCCACAGAATTTTGAACAAGGAAAGCACCAAATGATACAATGCACACGGATAATTAAAAGTCCAAACCACAGCCCTGGAACATTAGGACCAGGAGACCTCTATTGCCCTTTGCATGTTTTTCTGACAAGTTCCTATCACCATGGCCCAAAAAACCTGTCAGAACCCGTAGGTAGTTCTCCATCTTTCCTTCTCATTTCTCCCCAGTCAGTCTTTTCTTTATATCCTTTGATAGCTCCATTATTTTTCTTGCTTTCTGGCTTTGCAATAATGATGGCTCATCTTTTCCCTATGGCCCGACTGTCTCTTTTCACATCACCAGCAAATACATTTCTTTAAAATCCATACTGTGGGGCTGTATTTCCAATGCTTCTCATTTCAGTCACAGAAACCTCAGACTTAACTGCTCAACACCCTTCCCTCCTTCTCTCTGCTTGAAAGATTGTGCTTAAATCACCTAGTTATAATTCAATCTGAACAAATTAAGGATTTCAGTCTTTTTGCATGAAATAAAGGTACCAGAAATGTGGTTTGTGTTAAAATAAATCTTATTTTCTGCAGTTTTTACCAAAATCGAAGTTGTGTGATTTTCAAGATGAAGTAATTTGAATTGAGGTTGAACTATTTTTTATAACCCCATTGTTGGAATTCTTAGGGTTTCTGTGCAGTGTTTCAGACAACACAGATGTGAATTTTTCTAGTTTTTAAAAAAAGACATTGGCTGTCAAAATTTCACCCAGGTCTACCCTTCTCCCTCCTCGAGGTCCCCCAGCTGCCTTACTGCCCTTTGTGAAACCCAGTTCTGCCTTTCTGTTGGTAAGGACATCTTCACCTTCATGAGTTTTGCCCTTGTGTCTTTGCTTCAAGCATTAGGCACAGGGTGGCAACCATACATGAGCTCCTCATACCCTCCAGCTTTGCCATCACGTCGTGCACCTCCTGTCCTGTTTTTGTCCTCTCCTTTCCAAAACCTGCTGCTCCATCCTTTTCCTACTATCTCCACCATGAATCACTGCATCTCCAGGCTCCTCCAGTTTTCTTCCAAGAGCCATCATCCATAGATGTTTCCTTCTCCTCCTTCCCACGCCTATCCAAAAGCTCAGGGAATTATTGATTTCATTTCAAATCCAAAATACGTTAATGCAGGACAGGGCAATTGCAATGCAGGCCTGTTTGCAGTAACACTTGATTTTATTGCAGTAGGATCCCCCGGGCAGAGAAGAACCTCATGAGGTTCAATTAGAACAAGTGTAGGGTCCTGCACCTGGGAAAAAAGAACCCCAAGCACCAATACAGGCTAGGGGTGGATCTGATAGAAAGTAGTGTGGAGGAGAAGGATGTTGGAGTCCTGATAAACAGTAAATTATCCATGAACCAGCAGTGTGCTCTTGCTGCCAAGAAGGCCATTGGAATTCTAGGTTGCATAAAGAAGAGTGTGGCCAGTAGGTCTAGAGAGGTCATTCTTCCACTCTACTCTGCCCTGGTGAGGCCACAGCTGGAATACTGCATCCAGTTCTGGGCTCCACAGTTCAAGAGAGACAAGGAGCTACTGGAGAGAGTCCAGAGGAGGGTGACAAGGATGAGTGGGGGATTTGAGCATCTCTCTTATGGAGAGGCTGAGAGAGCTGGGATTCTATAGCCTGGAGAAGAGAAGGCTGAGGGGAGACCTTATCAATGTATGTAAGTATCTGAAGGATGAATGCAAAGAAGATGGAGACAGACTCTTCTCAGTAGTTCCCAGTGTCAGAATGAGGGGCAACAGGCACAACCTGGAACATTGGAAGCTAAATATGAGGAAAAACTTCTTCATATGAGGGTGACAGAGCACTGGAACAGGCTCCCATGGGGGGTTTTGGAGTCCCCTTCTCTGGGGGATATTCAAAATCCACCTGGATACAGTCCTGTGTAAAGTGCTCTAGAGGATCCTACTTCAGTGGGAGAGTTGGACTAGATGATCTCTAGAGGTCATCCAACTCCAGCAATTCTGTGACTTTCAGAGTTGTCTCCTACATTGCTATCTGGTTTATCTCACATCAGCCTTGTGTTTTCATATCGTTCCTCTGCTAAAAGTGATTTCCCCTAAAACTTCCAGTTCTGGAGATTTTTTGTGTTTCCACTTAAACCATGTTCAGAGTCATATATCACTCCCTCCTCTGCACCCTCTCCCTCTCGCTTTGCCAGCCTCTCCTGTTCCTTCAGGGTGCCTCAATACTGGTGTTTCCACTGTCACCTCCAGGATGGGAAGGTAAATCAGTCACAGGGGGAACTGACCCTTAAATATCCAGAGAAGCAGAAAGCATACACCATCATAAGCCCAGACCCACCTGCCACTGTGCATCATGGGCAGGCAGTTACAGTTGTTAAAGTCACTTACACACTTAAAGTGTTTAGATGGCATGTTCTTAGGATAAACAGAAATGTATAATATATACGGTGCTGAAGGACATTATCTTGGGGACAATTAAATTTGACAACATCTCTGTCAGCTCTTTTGCACTGCAGGGGAGACATCGACCCGGGCTTCAGAGAGATGCCTCAGCTTCTTCTGCCTCCCGTATCGTTTCCCCCTCATCTCTGAACTCAGTAATCCCGGGAAATGCTGGGCAGCAGGGATGGGCAGGCAGGGCAGCTGGCTGAGGGGATTTCAAGCCTGGCTGGGCGATTCGGCAGTACTAAATGACACGCCCGGTGGGTGCTCACCTGCTCACCAGGGGTGGTGGTCTTCTCCCTCCATACAGCACTGCCGAGCAGCCTGGCCTGAGGTCCTGCTGCTGCCTAGGTGTCCGGTGGGGGACAGAGGGGACCAGTTGTGATGCAAGCACCAGAGGGACACCTCACCCCCAGAGCCAGCCCCGCCCCCCCTTCCACGGGGGCTGGGAGCTCCTGTGCTCCCTGCTTGCACAACCCACTTCTGCACTCCTTCCCTGCTGGCCTCCAAGGGCTGCCTTTCGTTTTTCCCAGTGTTGCACTTCTGGGTTGTTTCTCATGGACATCAGCGTTCTGGAAGATCAGTTCTCATGCCCTTTCCTGACCCCAGACTTCCTGATCTGCTTTTGATGCTCATCACTGAGAGCAGTTGGAGTGGATTCTTTCTGCATCACACCCCCTTAAAATAAATTTTGTTTTTATTCCAAATCTTCTAATTATGTTTGTTGTTCAATTGATACTGATATATTCAAAAATTACTTCCTTGTATCCACTATGAGACCTGAAGTTATTTCCAAGGACAACGTGGATTTGGACCTGTCTTTGACTCTAAGTTCAGGAACAGACGATCACTGAACCCTATTAAGAAGAAAATATAATGTGCAGGCCATTCGTGCACTGCAAGTTTAGATATTATTTGCAGCAGCTATTTCAACTTCTATGCCTTTACATTTCTAATGATCTCATTCTGTTTCTTATTTGTTACATCTTTCAGATGTGGCGCTTTTTTTGTTTTTTTCTAATCAGGATTCTTAAATAATAAATAGAGCGATTAATTTCTTTTCCAGTGAAAATTACCAACTTAACATAAGCCTCAAGGTGACTTTGGGAAGTTGAAGGTACAGTTCAGCTTTGCAGTTAGGCAAAGATGACAAACTCAGGTATAAAATTCTTCTCTGTAATTTTTCCCTTGCTTATATTTAGTCTCAGACAACGAAAAAGCATCACAGGTTACCATGGCAACTCCCCAGGAAACATTCTCCTCTATTCAAGCTCCAGGTTGCTGTGAGGGGAAGTAAGAAAATGTCCTCAGAAGAGAAAGAAAAATATTTTATCATGAGGTGCTTGTGCTTGGCCTTCAATCAGATGGAAATTAAGGGTGTTACCCAGGTGCAGCAGTTTTCAGAAGAGGTGACTGAAATGGGCAACCTGAACCTGTGAAGCACTGAGGCTGTAGACCACTGGAAAAGATCTTTGATGAACATTTAAGGTCTAAGAGTCAACTAGAAGATGAGTTAACAAAGACAAGTGCAGCATAGGACTGATGAGCAGACAAAGCCTACTTAATCCAGAGCTGTTGAAAACTAAGTTAGCAGTGTACCTTTGCCTTTCCTTATGCAGTATTTTCCTTAAAGCTGAATAAAGTTCTTTTGGAGAGTAACTTATTTGCTGAAAATTAAGACTTCAACTATTGATATATCTTGATCCAACTTAGTGAATATCACATACAAGGGGATGTACATTAGAGCTGGAAATGCTGTAACATCTCACTGCAGATTGTTTTATAGCACTACACTGATTTTTGAGCTGGATTCTCAAAAGGACTGAGATGACATCCGCAAGATTACGAAGGCAGAAATAATGCTGAATGTGTTCCCTTCCCTGTCAAGTAACAAGTAACCCCTGCTGTGCAAGAAGAGTTGAAACTAACTTCCCAGCTGAGTGCTTTGTCCACATT